TAGCGATGGCCTCCAACCTACTAGCGATGGCCTCCAACCTACTACCGATGGCCTCCAACCTACTAACGATGGCCTCCAACCTACCAGCGATAGCCTCCAACCTAATTCCGCTGGCCTCCACCAGAAGCAACAAAAAGGCAACAAATGGGAGGAAAAGCATGTTGTCTGACTTCTAAAACTGAAAACGAACTCGAGTCCAGGTCATCAAAGTCCATTGCGAGGCAATGCGAAGCAGCAGTGAAAAATCTGCTTGAAAAGTGTCGAGAACCGGTCCAAAGCTATAGCATATATACTGTAGCTGTAGCTGCGAGACGAAACACGCCAAGCTTCTGCAAAAAAGACCGTGGTTTGGGTTGCGTATGCGAAACGAAACTCCGTCGAAACATGAAGGATACTTCAAAATCATCTTAGTCTCTGAAGCCAAAACTTCATTGCGAAAAGGGACAGGCGCGATCTCTCGCAACGGATGAGACGAGCATCAAGGCATGCAGTCAAGAAGTGAAGTCACAAGAATGTCCTGAACTCAGGAAACCTTAAAGCATCTCAAAATATATAGGAGTACCCTCCGAGCACATCACACGGAAGTGGAATGAAATGGACCATCCCACAAACCAGCTGCAGGGTCTCGGAGACTCGGGTCTTCGTTCGGATTCGACCCGTCCGGCGTCGAGTCGTCGACCACACCGATGGAAGACACACACACACACACGCACGCATGTCTTGTGGGTCGCAGCAATCCGCACGCCGCGGCCCATGCAACTCCTGTTTACCTCTCCTTGTCTTGTTTTTATTCCACAAGAACACGCAAGAACCCCTTTGTATACAGCTTCCCCCTAGACTGTGAACTCTGGCCACATCTCTGAACTCCTCTAGCTGAATAAAAACTGGCAGCTCCCCGACCAGAGTGAGCGTCGTCCAATCAGGAGAATGGCCCATACCGATGGGTATGCTGCAATCCAAATGAGCCTGATGCGTAATGAGGCATCAAGAAATTCTCGTTTCGGGCAGTTGAAAGAAGAGGTTGGCAGCCTTTTCGACATGTGTGTGTGCCCCTTGTAGTCACAGGGATTCTTTTGAATTTGCACAGGATTGACTTGTTTAGAGCAGGGGGACTGCCTGACTTGTAACAGTGGCAGTCCAACGAAGAGGCTGTTACGAGTCACTGATATGGATTCTGGACGCAGAATCCACGTACCTGCTTGACTTTTAACATTTGCTGAGTTGAGCTTGACGTTCCGCAGACTTGCACGCTACGCCGTCACCCTGTCGTTTCGATCTCGACTTGCGCTTTTGGCCCCACTTCCTTTTGAAGCCCTCCAGGATCCGGCGGTTCTTTCTTGTACTCTTAGGAAATGGTACCCTAGGCCAAGTCTTGCTGAAGTATTGAATTCCAAGCTGGCTCGTGCCTTTACGTGACCGCAGCGGTCAAAGGTGGCAGCCCTCGGGCAAGCCAGCGACCAAAGCTTGTTCAGGTTCATTGGAACCTGTCGGACTCTTAGGTGCACATACATCGTACACACTTTAACGAGGCAGGTCTTCCCAGGTCGTTGTAATGAGGTCCGGTTTCATCGGTTCCCGTCCCCTCCATTTGGTTCCCTTTTCACCCTCACCCTTCACACACTTCTTTTCCTCTTTCTTTTCATGTCCTCCCTTGCTTCCTTTCATCTCACTCCTTTCGTTCTTTTGCGCGTACAACGGTCCGGGCCCTAGTGTGTACGCGCACATCTACTTTTAACTCAGGTGTTAGGTCGCCCAGGTCTCGACAATGAGGTGGGTTTCATTGTTTGTCCCTGTGCACTTTGTTTCTCTTTCATCGCAACCACACACACTTTTGTCTCGTCTCGTCTTCCTTCTCATGTCTTCATCCTTTTGTCTTTGCTGCGCGCACATCTGCACATTCGTCCTAGCCTTAATTTTTGCCTCCCCTTGGGGAGGCGTGTGTGTGTGTGCCCCTTGTAGTCACAGGGATCTTTTGAATTTGCACAGGATTGACTTGTTTAGAGCAGGGGGACTGCCTGACTTGTAACAGTGGCAGTCCAACGAAGAGGCTGTTACGAGTCACTGATATGGATTCTGGACGCAGGATCCACGTACCTGCTTGACTTTTAACATTTGCTGAGTTGAGCTTGACATTCCGCAGACTTGCACGCTACGCCGTCACCCTGTCGTTTCGATCTCGACTTGCGCGTTTGGCCCCACTTCCTTTTGAAGCCCTCCAGGATCCGGTGATTCTTACTTGTACTCTTAGGAAATGGTACCCTAGGCCGGCGTGTGGCACTGCTTTCAGTTCAGTACACCCAATCCTAAGTGTGTTTGTTGAAAATAAGATCAAATAAATGAATTAATGATATTAGACTCATGACATGCAACCACTCAGTTTGTCAAAAAACATGTCAAAATCATTCAAAATCTCGATCTTCCGGATACTACTTCTCGATCGATGGATGACGTGTGGACCTGGAATTCATCTGTCACGACGGACTCCTCTCGTCTGACTTGCTCGGCCAGTGGCACGAAGAAGAGCCACTGAAAATCCACGCCAGACATGGCCTCGTTTTCGGTGCCGATGGACCGTGCTGCATCGATCGAAGCACCAAGAAACCGTGCAGCACACGATCGACATGTGTCTCCATCGATCGAAAGAAAACATCGACTCCAACATCGACGAAGAACAATTATATACTTGCTTGCTTGTTTCGTGATGTCCAGAATGGCGCAAAAAAAAAGAAACAGCAGTTTTTAAATCAAGGGTGTCCCACCATCTCGCTTCTCGGTTTTTGGTGAAGCGTTGAGGTCGAGGCCTTCTGTACCCATGGTGCTAAAGTCTGGAGCGCCGCCTGGCGTCAACAGCGCCCATCATCCAGGAGTGGTCGAGGGGTGGAAACCATCGTCCAAGCCCCAAAGACTGGCTTGCCACTGGCTTGCCCATCTGGCTTGCCCATAAGGCAAGCCACGGGCGCCGCAGAAGCGGGCGCCGTCTGATCCCATGATACCGATCATTTCTGGTGGCTCCAAGCATCAAAGAGTCTCATCCCGGTGCATCCAAGGAGTGAGCGAAGGGGTGTGGCTCGTCCCATCCAGCCGTGGATGACAGGGGCACCCCGACAGAGTCCCGACTATACAGCACGAGGTGGAACGGCCGATTGCTTCAATTGCATCACGTTCAAAGAACGAGAAAAAAAAAAACGCAGACCATCTGCACCATCTGCGCCTGGCCCATCTGTTTCCAGTTGGACATTGAGAAGCCCGTCATCTGCGGCAGGGGCGGCGCTCCGTAGTTGACCTTGATGGTGTACAGCAGGGTGAGGAGGTTGCACCACAGACTGGCACGAGGGCGTGACGCCACATCGATGTGAAGCACCACCGGAGCCACGGCGCGTGTCGAAGTCTGCCAGTTGAGTTGGTTCTGGCTTTTGGAACCAGAAAAGGATCAAAGGAGAAGCTGAAAAAGAGTCTAGTACATTCTAGTACTACTAGTACTGTAGGATGAATAAGGAAAGAGCAACAAGAGAATCATATCCAGATCCAGACCCAAGACCAAAAGAAGAGCCTCCACCTTCCAACTGCCAAAGCTCTTTGGCCAAACCCAGAACCTTCATGAACCTTAGACCTTCCTCCTCTTAGAACCTTGGACCCCCCAACCTCACCTCCTTTTCCTTTCATCTCGAACCGCCTGGAACCACCGGGCCGTCCAGTTCAACCCCCCTCGGACCCACCTGGCCATGTACAAAGGTCGCTTGAAGGCCTCGGTCTCGTCGTTGCAACCATCGTTCCGCCCGGAGCCGGCCCGGTCTCGCCAGATCGGAGTTGGTGACGGCGCGACTGTTTGGTTTGGTGAAGGATGTGGGTAAAATGGCTCAAGAAATGACTCAGTCTTCAGCACTCAAGCCCACCAGTTCCACGGGCAAAATGTAAAGCCTGGCTGCAATGTACAAGGGCCAATCATCCCGATCTCTGCATCCAATCAGTGTACAGAAGCGATTTTTGAATGGCGCAAAGCATCAAGCGATTTGGGGCCCGCACGAACCTAGAATGAAGGTCAGCAGATGGCCCTGAACCACTGTCCTAAGAACAGTCGCATCGCCCAAAATGGCCGTCACATGGTTCACACATGTTCACACACTCACCTACTGCAGTGTTAGTTCAGGGCAACAAAGTCTCAATGGCATACTATATTGTCATATACTTACAGTACACCATCTATATACCTCCACCCATCTTGCTTTTGGAAATGCCAGATTCTATGCATCTTCTGCCGTCTGCCGTGGACCAAGAAACCGCCCGAGCAAGACCCATGCTCCGCGCGCGGAACCGTGCGCATGCTTGCTTCGCTGGGCCGCCGTGCTTCCGTGCGGGCAAGGATGCGAGAGTGCTCGCAATCCTGTCTCGAAAGAAGTACAACCTCAACGGAAAAGTGCCATGAACTGGCATTGGAAAAAGGACTCCATGAAGAAAGCTTGGGTGTTCTAAAATAGTGACGATTGTTGACCGACTGTTACAGGTAGGACGGGCCCTTAAAGATCTTAAAGAGGAAAGACAATACGCATTTCAGTGACCGCAGGTTTGCAAAGTCAAAGGAAAAGGGCACGGGCACGGGCATGCACAAATACCTGAACTTCTTCCATATCGCTGCTCGTTCGCTCCATTCCTGCGACTAAGCTTGTGGCACCCCTGGTATCAACAACCAGTACATCGCCTCACTCAGCTCATGTCTTTTGTCATGCATTGGGAGTGGCACAAGAAAGCCATCCAGAAAGCTGGTTGAAAACATGAACCCCCCATCTCGAAGTCATCTCCCTGCGTATGTGTGTGTGTGTGTCACTCTGAAACCACAACCTTCAAACTTTCTGAAGCTCCAACTCATGAGTTGAATCACAGGTACTGACACCCGATTCGAACCATGTTTTTCGAGTTCTGCTTGCGGATGCTTGTCGATCCTCGGCGCCCTGGCCCACGCTGGGAAGTTCGGCACGCCAGGTGGCGGGCCGGAGTCTGTGAGCCCAAGACGTACTGGTCGACCGACGAGAGACCGACCCTCCACAGGAGGGTGGTTGACCCCCCCCCCTCCCAGGCAAGGAGGAAGAGCAATAGACCAGTCTACCCAGCCAGGGCGTAGAAGGGGATATATCCCAAAATACACACAGCCGGTGCCTTACACCTATTGAATCCTCTTGCTTCTGTACGAACCCGGGGCCCCATCCCCGGGCCGCTCATCAACCAACAGCATAGAGAAATAGGGAACTGCTTAAGCATCCAAGAACAAAGATATAAACACAAAATATAAACAAAGCAAACAGTACCCCCAAATAAACAAATACAGAAAACAAACACTTAAAAGTAAAAATAGAGCATAGATAGAAAGCAAAACAAGGATAGTAGCAAAAACAGCAGAATAGCAGGGCCCAGCAGCAAAATATAGTAGAAGAGAGTGATGGTTGGCAGCAGGTAGAGACAAATGGTAAAAATGTCTGTAAAAGAGCAACAAGAACACAAACAACCGGAAGAGAAAGAATAGAGCCGAGTCTGGGGCAAGAACCAAGTGACAATGAATCAGCAATAACATAGCCAATGCAAAAAAAATAGAAAGGGAGATGTGGCGAAGCGGCAAAAGAAAACAACTACAGGAAAAGGACACTCAAGGAGAACAGTTGCAACACTGCTCTTACCTTACATTGGCCTCCAAACTCAGACAAGAAATTGACACGGACACATTGCCTTCATTTTTTGCTTGGCGAAAAAAGGTCTGTCAGCGGGTGTGAAGATCTCTACGCTGCCACGCCACCCAAGAAAGGTTTTAAATTGGAATTGTATCGTGTCGTATAGTGCTTTGACCTTCTGATCTTCTGAAAACACCAAAGGCAAACATCCAGACCTCACCTCTACTATCGTCGTGTAGTTATCCTTTTCAATTGTGTGTTTTTGTTTCTGATTTTACGTATATCTTAGCCTGCTGAGTCGGCTCCCGACCCTGTTGTCCTTCTGCTGCTGCTGCTGATTGTCGTTGCCCGTGCTTGTTTGTTTGTAGTGCAGCGGCTTGGGTTGCTGCCAGTGCTTGATTGTACTGCACTTTACTTGCACATTTGGTAGTGTTTTCGTTTTTGCTGGTTTATCAAATACTATATTATATGTATATATATATATATTTTTTTTAATGTATTGTTGGATGTTTGTGTTTTAATTCACACATGTTTTATGTGATGTTTCGTGGTGCTGTTACTTCATGTTTGTTTTGATCATCCGTTATTGATGATGTAAACACACGAAAAACGGTGCATCCAAACGGCCTCCTGTTCCTGATGGGACGCAGTCTGAGTGCTTTCTTTTTACTTCGAGTCAGCGCAATCTCGAGAGTTCTTACGTGGCAGGCGTGCAGGTATCTGTAAGGACCATATGAAGTTGATGAAGTCTCCTTTGCTTCACAGCCACTTGCAGCCACATTCTTCAGGTCATCTCTCATCTTCACTTACTTGTTCAGGATCTACATGTCTACTCTTCTTCTATGATGGCATCCAAGATCTTCAGAAGCATCGTGCTCATCCTCACTTGGTCACTTGGAGAAAGAAATCCGTGAGAAAATCAGGCATCACAAGCTATTACAGGTATCTGCGAGACACCATGGATACTGTATCCCTTCCAAAAGACCTCCACAAAAAAAAGAAACATCGGCCTCCCTGGTGGAAAAGTGATCAGCCGAGCATCGCAATGCAACCTCCGACCACCGCACAGGCATTCACCAGAAATTTGCTGAAGGGTACCTCAGCTGACTCGACTGACCCGCCTTTAGGGACACAGATCTGCCAGATCTGCTTCCTTTGTTCGTGAGAACTGTCCCAAGTGGGAGACTTCTAAAAAGTATTTGGATAGATACATATATATATATGTATGTATATGCATACCTCAGAAGGGAGGGGACGAAAGCCAGCCACCGTAAAAGATATCATTATGGCCACGGGGGGTGAATGCGAGATCCCTGGTGAGCTCCCCACCTCTTGTCCTATCACATCCTCCCCCGCTATGCCTATCCTGCACATGAACTCCCACTCCATATGGGGTGCCCTTTTGCGTCTGGTCAACAGGCCTCTTCACCATAAAAAAGGGCACCCCCAAGCAACTCAAAGCTTGCCCGCTGCATTCTGTTCCCTCCCTGTTCTCAATGGGTCACATCATTTCTTGCAATCCCTCTTTTCCTATTACGTCCTCCTCCGCTATGCCTGTCTCATCCGCATGAGCTCCTACCCCATATGGGGTGCCCTTTCGAGTCTGGCACTAGGTTACCAGGCCTCTTCACCGTTAAGAAAGGGCACCCCCAAGCAACTCAAAGCTTGCCCGCTGCATTCTGTTCTCTATCCTGCCCTCCGCGTCATTACATGAACTCGCACCCTTTTGCGTGTGGTTGACCGGCGTCTTCACCATGAAAAAAGGGTGCCCACAAGCAACTCAAAGATTTCTTGCAAGCCCTCTTTTCCTACCCGCCCTCCTCCGCTATGCCTGTCATCCACCTTCCCCACAGCATTCTGTTCACAGATCACAATGTTTTAAGAGACACACACCTCCCTTTCACCCTTACGAACGCTATTTCAATGGCCATCAGAGACGCGCATCTCCCTTTCCTGGAAGAGTTCCAACCACTTTTCGCGTCCCGTTGTGCCCGCTGTCCTATCATCGACATGAACGCCCACCCCTGGTAGAAGACGGTTTACACTGCCTCCGGAGCCCCTCATGATGCTAATGATGCACTACTCGCCGTCAATTACATCACTGGCATCACAGCACCCCTAAAACCACTCATTTTTCACTACCAAGTGGCCACCTCTCTTTTTTCCCCCTTTAACTCACTTCGTTCGCTCCCCTACCTCAAGCCTAGCCTATCGGCTGGCTTTCGTGATATTTATATATATTAACATATGCATATGTCACATCACGCTATATTCCAGTAGCAGCAAGATGATGATGGTTAGTCACGACCCTTCACCAAAAGAATGATAATCCTTTACCGACTACTGATAATGGGACACATCTGAAACAAAAAAAACAACACAAAAAAGACTTCATATGACATATGACATTGTAAAGACCTTTAAGAACCCCTTGCGGGAGCGTCCTTCCGCTCGTCCAAAAAGATCAAGGCCTTAAAATAACAAATCCAGGCCAGCTGCATGCTCGGTGAAGTAAGTGACTCTGATTGGATCAAAGTCCATGCGGAAGAAGACGGCGGGACCGATGAGCTCGTTGGTCACGAAGGAAGCGGCTTTGAACTGATAGCCCCATTCCACCGCCTGAAGGGGGAATGGGAACCAATAGGTGTCGTTGATGCCGTCTTTTTAGGGTTCAAATTCTTCCAACATGTTCCAAATATGTCTCGAAAAGTGGGGCCGTCTTTGTTCAAGAACTCTTCAGTTCCCGATATTCTTCTGTCATGAATACGTCATGAATCCGACCTCTTCAAAACAACTGTTGGATCGTTTTGTCCGAAAAGCACGGGAAGAAAACGTGTGAGAACCCCATGTCATGTGTCTGCTCCCGACCGAACACGAGTCTTGTGTCAAGAAGCACGAGTCTTGCGGGTCACAGGAGTGATCATGAGGTAGTACCTCGGTGAACACGGTGTTGGATGAAAAGACACTCCGAGAATGCCAGTCAGCTGACATTACTTGGCATTAAGACCATTTAAGACATATTAAGACAAGATGCTGGAAAGTAAAGGCCTTCGGACTTTCAAAACCTTGCAAAAGATCGCGAACGGTGACATGCTTTCTTTCGAAGGAGGTGTATGTATTGTACCATGAGCATGGGTCGAGCACGCTGCTTCTTTCGGAACTCAACATGAAAGCCAGGACTTGTTGCACCAAGTGACCATCCAGTGGCCGGGACATGCCACCAGACTTATATGGCACATCGATGAAGGCCAAGGAGTTGATGGTGTGCCTAAACGTGCCGTCGTTTAGATCAAGTCTTCAGCATCAAGTCTTCAGCTTTAGACCCCCAAATAGAATCAAATAGATAGAACAGTAGATCCCCACAAAAAATGTATTGGAAACCATTTCTATCTATTTGGGGATCACTTCACTATACTTTCCTTTTTTCGCTGAGCGACCGCATGTTCTGTTGAGGCGGTGCTGGCTCGTCGTAGAAGGACAGGTATGATGGGACCATAGCTCCATGCACGCCGATGTGGAAGTTACCAGGGACCCTGACAACAGTAGGACGGTCTGAAAAAGAACTGCAGCAAAGCTACACCTGGTCCGTCCATCACGTGCATGGCGTTGGTTCACTTTATCTAGTGAGTTTAGTGATTGCTGGAATAGCTCTAAATGAGCAAGCTGCAGTCTGAGATGCTTGAGAAATCCCGACTTCCCTCACAAAGCAACCAAAATCCATGAGGATAAGAAGCCTATCTAAGAAATGCCAACTACCTGCCCCACCAGGCCCTATTCTTCCTTCCGCGCCTATTCACATCGAAATATCCATGGATCCGACAGCTTTCTCCCTTCATCTCACGTCGCAGCTCACTCTCCTTGTCTCGCCATTCGAAGATCGGCATGTGCAGCATCGACCTGGGCGCTCCGACCCGACAGACGTGCGACCGGTCCGGTCCGGAGACTCCGGTCCGGCGTATCGCCCGGTATCAACGTCCGCCAGGAGACCCCAGAGGCAGATCCCAGCCCTGCGGCAAATCATCGAAACTGGATAAGCGGCGCGCCTGGGCGAAAAGCGACGCGAAACGGGCGAAAAGCGAGGCGAACATGTTCATGCTCCCCTCTCCGAAATGTTTCAGCCTGCAATCTCCAACTGCGCGACGGCAAGGGCCAAAGCGCAATTCAGGTGTTTTGTTCAAATCTTTGATCCATTCCTCTGATCCATTCCTCTGATCCATTCCCCTGATCCTGCTGCTCCATTGTCACATGTCCCAAATATGTTTTCCTAATGACAACTCCACCATGGAAGTTGGACCGACGTTCTTCGCGATCTCACCAGGCCTTCAGCGCCTCCACCTCCGAAGCTCCGTCAGCGGCGGGTGTCGTGGTCGCCGTCTGCGTTCCAGCGGGTGAGGCTGTTTCGGTGTCGAAATCGGAAGGTGACAGTGACAGATTTTGGAGTCTCGTCCAAGTGTCCGGTTCCAAAGAAGAATGCGGGGCGCCATTCACCAGAGATTGGGTTTTATTATGTGGTTCATCATTGAGTCAGTACGTTGGCGATGGCAATCATCAGCTATCAGGATCGCCACCTTTAGAGCCACTGTGCAATTGCGAGTTCCAGATGAAAAACCATATCCTCAGACTTCAGAATTTCAGCTGCTTCACAAACGAAGGCACAAGTGGCGCAACGTGTCCGACGTGTCCGAACTTCATCTGCCGGCCCAAGCAGCGCTTACTCTTCCTGCTGGTGCCCGTGCGTAGCCAGCACTTGGCCGCAAACTCTTCCACACCCCAAGTCCACCAAGAGCATTTGGGTACCTTCGATTCGACGTCAGCTATGGCCGGCTATCGGTTCGTGGCACATCGAGGGTGCTCCGTACCCTCAAAAAGGCATGAACATCAGTCACATATAGAATCGCCCGTCTGCTCTCTCTTTCTCTTTCTTTCCCTCTCTCTCTCTATCTCTATCTATCTCTATCTATCTCTATCTCTATCTCTATCTCTATCTCTATCTATCTATCTCTATCTATCTCTATCTATCTCTATCTATCTCTATCT